TGGAGTTGGCACTGGAGTTTCTGGTTCTGGGGGTGCTGGGGTTGGAGCTGGAGTTGGAGCTGGAGTTTCTGGTTCTGGAGTTGGAGCTGACCCGGTGGGTGCAGAGGACCCTTGTCGTCCGGGAGCTGGTGCTGGTCGCGCGGACACTGGGGGTGAGAGTGCGCCTCCTTTGGGTTCTGGTGAGCCTGGGTCTGGAGCTGGTGTTAGTGCTGCCTCTGGGGGTGGTGCGCCTGGTTCTTCGGGGGTGGACTCTGGAGCTACCGCTGCTTCGGACACTACTCCGCCCCCCCACCCCTACCCGACTAGGCACCAGGCTCGTGTTCGCCGTGCCCGTGACGAGCAGCTGGCGTTGGAGAGAGAGGAGAGGGAGTTACAGCGGCTGGAGGAGCAGCAGCAGCAGCTGGAGCCGCAGGAGCAGCAGCAGCAGCAGCAGCAGCTGGACCCGCAGGAGCAGCAGTCCCAGCAGCAGCCGCTTCCGCAGCAGCAGCAGTCGCAGCAGCAGCAGCAGCAGCCACTTCCTCCTCCTGTCTCGGGTCTTCGGACCCTTGGTCTCCCCTCCCCTTCTCCTCCCTCCTCCGCCTCTCCTCCTGTCTACGGTCCCACGTTTCCTCCTCCTGACTCCTCCCCCGCTGTTTTCCCCAGTTCTCCGCCTTTGTCCTCTCCTCCTCCGTCTCGTTCTTGGGCTACTCGTCGCTCCCCTCGTGCTCGTCCCTCGTCTCCTGTTCCCTTCACTGACCTTCGTACTGCCTTCCTTCTTTCTAGTCCACCTCGTCCGTCTCAGTCTGTGCTTCCGTCTCCTCCTGAGTCGGCCCTCACTGTGTCGCTCCCTACTCCTGTCACTGACTACTACCGCACGTACCGTCCTGTTCTCTCTCGTGTTCTTGCCTCTCTTGTTACTCACCCTCGTGCCTCTGTGTCCTCTGTGTCCGCTCTTACTGCCGCAGTTACTGACTTTGCCTCTACCCGCCGCCTTGACTACGCCACCACGCTTGTGGCTGCTCCTCCTACCAGTCCTCTGGCCGTCGGGGGTGTGTCTGCCCTTGGCTGTGACGCCCTAGAGGACAGGCAGTTTGAGCTAGAGTTCCTGGAGGCCGCTTCCCCTCATCTCTGTGCCATGCTCCTCGCCCCTGAGGGTGACCCCGACGCCCTTGACATTCCGACTCCTCGCACTTACGCTGAGGCAGTGTCAGGGCCTTGGGCCTCTCAGTGGAGAGCTGCCATGGACGCAAAGATGGCCTCCTACAGATCCACAGGCACCTACGTCGATGAGGTTCCCCCCCCTGGGGCAAACGTAGTCGACGGCATGTGGATCTACAGGGTGAAGCGGCCACCGGGATCTCCCCCGGTCTTCAAGGCGCGCTACGTGGCTAGAGGTTTCAGTCAGCGCGAGGGAGTTGACTTCTTTCAGACCTTCGCACCTACCCCGAAGATGACCACTCTTCGGGTGTTACTACACGTAGCAGCACAGAGAGACTACGAGTTACACTCTCTCGACTTCTCCACTGCTTTCCTTCAGGGCAGCCTACACGAGGAGGTCTGGTTGCGTCGTCCCTCGGCCTTCACTGGCACCTTCCCTCCTGGGACCCAGTGGAGGCTGAGGCGACCTGTTTACGGTCTTCGCCAGGCCCCTCGTGAGTGGCACGACACTCTGCGTTCTACCCTCTCTGACCTTGGGTTCCAGCCGTCTTCTGCCGACCCGTCGCTGTTCGTCCGTCGTGGCTCCACACCGTTCTTTGTTCTGGTTTACGTCGAGGACCTCGTTTTCGCCACTCCGGACAGGGTTGCTTTGGCAGACGTGAAGTCCGAACTGCAGAAGAGACACACGTGCACTGATCTTGGTGAGCTGCGCCACTACCTTGGCCTGCAGATCACCAGGGACAGAGCCGCTCGCACCATTACACTCTCACAGTCACACATGGTGCAGCAGGTCCTTCAGCGGTTCGGGCTTCAGCACTCCACCGTACAGCGCACACCTCTCGCTGTTGACCACAGACTCACTGGTCCCTTTCCTGACGAGCCGTTTGAGCCTAGTGGTCCCTACGCAGAGCTTGTGGGTTGCCTCATGTACCTGATGACTTGTACTCGCCCGGACCTCGCCTTCCCTCTCAGCATCCTTGCGCGCTTTGTTGCGCCAGGGAGACACCGTCCTGTTCACTGGACGGCAGCTGTGAGGGTGGCGAAGTACCTAGCGACTACATCAGGCGTGGGGCTAGTTCTTGGAGGGCAGCAGTCTGTCGTACTCACTGGTCACTGTGACTCCTCTTACGCTGACGACGCTGAGACTCACAGGTCTACTCAGGGGTACTGTTTCAGTCTGGGTTCTGGAGCTGTTTCCTGGCGTTCCACGCGCTCCTCTTCTGTCTCGACCTCTACAGCTGAGGCTGAGATTTACGCTGGTGCCATGGCGGCACAGGAGTTGCGTTGGTTGACCTTCTTGCTCGCCGACCTTGGTGAGCGGCCGAGCTCTGCACCGACCTTGTTCACTAACAACAAGGCGTCGATCCTCCTCTGTCGTGAGCCGCGACTGGAGAGCAGAGTGAAGCACATTCACGTCAGGTACTTTCTTCTGCGAGAGTTGCAGAGACGTGGACAGGCTCGCTTCGAGTTTGTGGAGTCCGAGGCCAACACTGCAGACATCTTCACCAAGGCGCTTCCGCCTCGTGACCACCAGAGGTGTTGTGTGCAGTTAGGCCTTGTTGACACAGGTTCTAGTCATGTGTAGGCTTGAGTTTATTGCCTGCTTCGTCTGTACTCTTGCTATATATACTTGTGATCTCTTGGACTGGCCTTGTGGCCACTGTTGCTTGTGCTGAGAGAGTGTGGTGACGTTGTGATCCACCCTGAGCTTTGTTTTCTTTTGGACTGGTCTTGTGACCGTACTCTTTTTTATTTTGCTAGACACCCCTCACTTAGGCTATGGGGGTGTGTCAAATGTTGTAGCCTGTAGTGAGGTTTGTCTTAGGGGGTACAGAAGTTAGGGTTTGTTATATGTACCCCAACCAACATCAATGTCATTTTGACAGGTGTCTCCGCTCCCCTCCCGTCTTTCTTCCTCTCTCCGCTCCCCTAACGTCGCTCTTCCCATCTCCGCTTCCATTCCCGTCCTTGTTCCTCTCGCCCTTGATCTTTCCCGTCGTTATTCCTCACTACCGTCCCGTCCCCTCCCCTCCCCTTGTTAATATTATTCTAAAAGAGCAGGCCGCAGGTCCTTCGCTGCACTGGTCTCACAGGTCGACTAGCTCTGGATCACCTAAACATTCTCGTTGCATGTGTGTGGGTTGTCGGAACTGCTTGTGTCGTTGCGTCACGCAAAGCTTCTGGTACATTCACTGGAACGATTGGAAGCTTTGCACGTCGTGCAGCCTTGCGCCAAAATCGCACATATATGTGCGAGAAAGTTTGTCACCAATCAGAGTTCATAAATATGATCCAATCGTTCTCCCTTCACTTTGAGGCAAACTCTGGTGTTGAAAGAAAATCTCACATGTACCGTAACTTCCAACTTTCCCAAAATTTCCGTTTTCAAGTTGGACCCAACAAGAAGGGGGGGTCACTATTTTAGCTGCTGGCTTTAAATTGTAATGGGATGGAGGGTACAACAAATGGTGTGGTGTGGTTCAGACATGAGGTGTTTGTGATACACTGTATTTCTGTAACAAAAGTTTCAGAAGAGTTCCACTAGAAGAGTCCCAAAGAGAATTTCCAAAAGGAGATACGGTATTTACAGATTCACATTCTCAAGAACACTGTTTTGAGTGGACTCCACACAACGATACTGGTACAGTGGCCCTTATTTCAAATGTGTGGGCAGTAGTTAACAGCCTGTTTGATAACCAGTGAGTTCATCCCAAACTTCACATACATAAGCAACAGCCAAGCAGTGTACTTGAAGGCGTTACACCTTTTTCAAACAAGCCAGAACATTCCAACGTTTCAACAGCAATCAGCATTGTTTGCCAACAGCAGTGAACAGACCAGACCATACCACCAACCAACCAATCACGCGTCGAACGACCCTGTTTCTGTTTTTAATCGCCTCAGAAGCTAGACTCCACTCCACCACCTCCACAACCTCAGCTTGTTCCCTAAAAGTTCTCAAACCCAGCTAGCCGCAAAACGATGCCACTCCCCAACTCAGCCTTGCTGTGGCCATCTCGACTCGAGCCAGTGCCACAGAGATATTGAAGCCCTTGAGAGCATTCGTAAGTGTCACAGCAGCAACAAGAACTGAAAGAAGCACATTCGTGTGGAACCTGCACTGCACAGCAGTTGACCTCGACAGTTGACCGGGACAGTAGGTACCCTGGCAGTTGACCCTTGGTGACAGCAGTTGGCATTCTCTTTTCCCCAGAACATGCCCTCACAAGTGCAGGCAGGCATCCGGGCACGTTTTTCCTCACACCTTCTTCACAATCTGCACAACATCCTCATCCTCCAATTCGTGCTCCTGTTGTGTAAGGGGTGAGAGGGGTATGGGGAAAGAGAGGGGGGAGGGCGGGGAGGAGGTGGGAAAGGTTACGTGTTTTTCAGGCCACCTTGCACACCTTCTTCACGACCTTCAGGCTTCAGCCCAGCCAGCCTGCCACATCCTCCGGATGTATGTATGGGGGCTGGGAGGTCTAGTTTAGAGGCGCCTCAAAACCAGCCTGCCACATCCTCCGGATGTATGGGGGGTGCGACGCGAGCAGTGAAGGGGTATGATGGGCAAAGAATTCTGAAGCTCCAATAATCTCCCAACCCAACCTTGAAGACCAAATGAGCGGGCCAAGGTTGGATTTTCAATTCCAAGTAGGGTGAAGTTGTATTGTACACCCAACAGAAATTGTTTTGAGGCGCCTTAAAAGTCGTCTCGCTACCCGCAATTTTTTAGCCGCCTCAAAATTTTAAGTAGGGTGAAGTTGTAGTACACCCAACGGAATTTGGGTACCCATCTCTAGAGACTAGCATACATGCAGGATACACGAGGAAGAGAAATCTACAACCTGACAGTGAGCACTCACCTTGCCTACTCGTTGCGGCTTGTGCTTGGCACTGGACCCCCACACGAGAGCACTGGTGGGTAGAGAGGGACACAAACGAGAGGGAGGGGGAAAGGAGGAACAAGCAAGAGGGGGTTCAACAATAGCTTGGCAGCGCACCCCCACACCAGAGCATTGTTTAATAATATCTATGCGGATACGACTCACTATTTGAGCTGCTCGACTCACTTGAACTGCCCGACTCATTACTTGACCTGCCCGACTCACTATTTGCACTGCCCAACTCACTATCTGAACTGCTCGACTCACAGATTGAACTGCCCAGCTCAATATTTGAGCTGCCCAACTCACGATTTCAGACGGCCCAGCTCAGTATTTGAACTGTTCTCACTATCTGAATTGCTCGACCCACTATTTAACTGGCCGACTCATATTTGAACTGCCCGATTCACTATTTGAGCTGCCCGACTCACTATTTGAACTGCTTGGACATGTTCTTGTGGATGCAGTTGCGGAAATCATCAACCCTCGCCGACTTGCCCGACAGAATCACCGGATCCTCGTAGTCCGGATTGGCTCCCCTCGCCTACCCCCTTCCCCTCTCCGCTACAAGCCACTGTTTCAGCCTGCCCGATTCACTGTTTCACGCTGCCCGTATTGCCAGTTTACCCTGCCTGGGCAAGTATTTTTTAGGCTGCCCAATCCATCCTTTCAGGCTGCCCGACTCACTATTTGAACTGCTTGGACATGTCCTTGTGAATGCGGTTGCAGAAGTCATCCACTGTCACCGACTTGCCCGACAGAATCTCCGGATCCTCGTAGTCCGGATTCATTCTTCCCCCACCTACCCCCCTTCCCCTCCCCTCCCCACTATCCCGTGAGAAGCCACTGTTTCAACCTGCCCAACTCCCTGTTTCACGCTGCCTGACTGGCAAGTCCACCCTGCCCGACCCAGCATTTCAGGCTGCCCGACTCAATATTTCAGGCTGCCCGACCCACTAATTGAACTGCCCGACTCACTATTTGAACTGCTTGGACATGTCCTTGTGGATGCGGTTGCAGAAGTCATCCACCGTCACCGACTTGCCCGACAGAATCACGGGATCCTCGTAGTCCGGATTCGCCCCCCGTGGCTTCGTGTACACCCGCACGAGGTCAAGATACTCCCAGATCTTCTCCAGTAAGCCATCCAGATTCCACTCCAAGTGGGCACTGCATGGATGTTGAATCGCCAGCCACAGAGAAGGGAGGGAACCAGTGGTGAGAGCACGCGACAGAATCACCGGATCCTCATAGTCCGGATTCGCTCCCCTCGGCTTGGTGTACACTCGAACAAGGTCCAGGTACTCCCAGATCTTCTCCAGTAAGCCATCCAGGTTCCACTCCAAGTGGGCACTGAGAGAACACGCAGGGAAGAAAGGTATGTGCACATGTCTTTTCGCCCTGGAGTCGCCCCCCGTGGCTTCGTGTACACCCGCACGAGGTCAAGGTACTCCCAGATCTTCTCGAGCAACCCATCCAGGTTCCACTCCAGGTGAGCACTGCGGGATCATGCAGGGAAGAGAGCGCACAAGCACACGTTTCAACCTCTCTGGATTTGCTCCTCTGGGCTTGGTGTACACGCGCACGAGGTCAAGGTACTCCCAGATCTTCTCCAGTAACCCGTCCAGATTCCACTCCAGATGAGCGCTGCATGCCAAGTGTGTTCAACAAACCACAGAGAAAAGAGGAGGCAAGCAGTGAGCTTGTGGGAGGGTCTGGAACCTTGTGAGCGATTTTTGAAAATTTTCAAAAATCGCTCACAAGGAGGCAAGCGGTGAGCATGTGAGAGGGTCTGGAACCTCGTAGTCCGGACCGGATTGCCCCCCTTGGCTTGGTGTACACTCGCACGAGATCAAGGTACTCCCGAGTCTTGTCGAGTAACCCGTCTAGATTCCACTCCAAGCTTATCCAACACAACACCTCAAGGCTCAAAGATTAATCGCTCGCAGTGGTGCAGCAGCTTATCCAGCAGCTTATCCAGCAGCTAATCCAGCAGCTTATCCAACACCTCAAGGCTCAAGCCGTAATCGCTCGCCGTAGCGCTGTCAACTCGCCGTAGTGCTGTGCTCGACATTATACCCTCTATAAGCTGCTCCCTCGCCTTCACACACAGTAGCAGTACCTGACAGGGCAGTAGCAGTACCTGACAGGGCAGTAGCAGTACCTGACAGGGCAGTAGCAGTACCTGACAGGGCAGTAATGGGGAAGCTTATCCAGCACCTCCAGCTCCTCCAGCGTGATCTGGTCCACCTTATTGACAGCGTACACACACGGGATGTACACGCGGCTGCCCTCAATCACGTCGATCAGGTCGTCCACCGTCGCATCGTATCGCAGATGCACGTCCGCGTTGTGGATGCGGTACTCCGAGCACACCGCCTTCACCGTGTCGAGGTCTAGATTGGTGACGCTGCACGCTGCTGTGATGCTGATGCCGCCCTTGTCCTTTCTCCGGAAGGTCAGGTTTGGAGGCTCCTTGTTCAGCCTGGGAGAGGTGAAAAACAAGACCCCCCGTCGAAAAATGGGAGGGAGAAACGGAGGGAGAGGAGGAAGGAGGAGGGGAGGGAGAGGAGGGGTGGGAGGGAGGGGGTGAGGGTGGGGCGAATGCGGTACTCGGAGCACACGGCCTTGACCGTGTCGAGGTCCAGGTTGGTGACGCTGCAAGCTGCTGTGATGCTGATACCGCCCTTGTCCTTTCTCCGGAAGGTGAGGTTCGGCGCCTCCTTGTTCAGCCTGCCAGGGGGGGAAACGGCACCCCCCATCGAGAAACGGGAGGGAGAGGGCGAGGGAGAAGGGAGGGGAGACAGGGAGGGAGGAGCGGAGGGAGAGGAGGGGGCGGGAGGGAGGGGGTGAGGGTGGGGTGGGGTGGATGCGGTACTCGGAGCACACGGCCTTGACCGTGTCGAGGTCCAGGTTGGTGACGCTGCACGCTGCTGTGATGCTGATGCCGCCCTTGTCCTTCCTCCTAAAGGTCAGGTTTGGAGGCTCCTTGTTCAGCCTGGGAGGGAGAAGAGGAGGGAGTGAGGGAGGGAGAGAGAGGGGGACGAAGGGGACGAAGAAGGGGAGGGAGGAGGAGAGGGAGAGGAGGGAGGGAAAGGAAGAAGGTTGAGTGAGGGAGGCGTAAATGCGGTACTCGGAGCACACGGCCTTGACTGTGTCGAGGTCTAGATTGGTGACGCTGCAAGCTGCTGTGATGCTGATGCCGCCCTTGTCCTTCCTCCTGAACGTCAGGTTTGGAGGTTCCTTGTTCAGCCTGGGAGGGAGAAGAGCGAAGGAGGGAGGAGGGAGAGGGGTAGAGGAGAGAAAGGGAGGGAGGAGGGCAAGGGGAAAGGGAGGGAAGAGGGGAGGGCGAGGAGGGAGGGAAAGGAAGGAGGGTGAGTAAGGGCATTGTGGATGCGGTACTCGGAGCACACCGCCTTGACCGTGTCCAGGTCCAGCTCTTCAAGCTCTTTTACAATAAGTCTCTTGAGCGTGATGGGCTTGATGGCGTCGAACACAATCACAATAGAGGACGAACAACAACCATTAAGCAGACATGACTAACTCAACAAACAAACACACGCACCTGATGCCAAACCCTTCGAGCTCCTTCTCAATGAGTCGCTTGTGTGTGTACTCCGCTACCTCTCTCCGTCCCTCTTGTGTGTGATGGGCCGATTGATGGCGTCCAGCACAATCACAATGCCGACTCAACTCAACCAGCTTGTACTACAACCACAGCACCACAACACATGCACCACAGCACCACAACACATGCACCACAGCACCACAACACATGCACCTGATGCAAAACCCTTCAAGCTCTTGTGCATAATGGGCCGATTGATTTTTGAGTCGGCTCAAAACGAGGTGACTCTTGACGTGGGCCGATTGATGGCGTCCAGGACAATCACAATGCCGACTCGACTGAACCTGCCTTCACCATCGTTGGCTCGCACAGCGGCGCACCGCACCGCACCACACCGCAACCCACCTGATACCAAAGCCCTCAAGCTCCTTCTCGATCAGTCTCTTGTGTGTGATGGGCTTAATGGCGTCCAGTACAATCACGATGCAGTTACACGTGCGAGCGGTCGAGATGACCTGATGGGACGTGGGGGCGACGGGAGGAGAGGGACGGAGAGAGGTAGCGGAGGGGAGGGTGTGATGGGCTTGATGGCATCCAACACGATCACAATGCAGTTGCACGTGCGGGCGGTCGAGATGACCTGATGGGGTGGCAGCAGCAGAGAGGGAGGGGGATGCGAGGGGATGGTGTGAGGCATCTCAATCCCTGTCTCATTCAGACTCTTGTGCGTGATGGGCTTGATGGCATCCAGCACGATCACAATGCAGTTGCACGTGCGGGCGATCGAGATGACCTGATGGGATGGTATGCATGCACCACAGGGGAGCGGAGGTGCGAGAGGTTGGTGCAGTGGCAAGGCGAGAGATGTGAGGATGCACATGAGAGAGCACACATATATTGCACAAGAGAAACGGGTGAGCGTGATGGGGGAGACGAGGAGTGGAGGAAGAGGAGTGCAGGCCATAACGAGTTTAGGAAGGAAGAGGGAGGAAGGAGCGGCTCTCCTTCCCCCTCCTTCCCCCTCCTTCCCCCTCCTTCCCCCTCCTTCCCCCTCTCACCTGCCTGCCTCGCCCCTTGCCGTCCTTGGCTCCCTCAATGATTCCCGGTAAATCCAGCAGCTGCCAGCCAGCCATGTCATGCCACACACACAGGCACGAAAAAAAAAAGGGTGGAAGCAGCATGATGAGTGCAGAGGAGGAAATGTACGGGGGTTGAGCGTCAATAGAGCGGGAAAAGCTAGTTCCAAACGCGCATGGCTATCGTAAGACTAAACAGCACGTTCAATGGCACTTTCCCCTGCACTACACTGCATTCCAGCTCGCACCTGGATCTTGGCCCCTCGGTATCGAATCACACCCGGAATGCACGTGAGCGTTGTGAACTCGTACGATGCCACCTGCATGCAGGCGGAAGGTGATGTGGCAGGCATTAGTCGCAACCAAGTAGCAGGAGGTGAATGGATGCATCAGCAGCAGCAGCAGCAGCAGCAGCCTACCTCCAAGAATGTGCCCGTTAGTTTGTTCAAAATGGTCCACATCCCCACTCACGGGAAAGCCACGAGCCCCACTCGGAGTCACCACTCTTTGTCACGCCGAAGCCTTCTATGTCAGTGCTTGAATGACGGCCTACCTCAGAGAATGTGCCTGTCAGCTTGTTTAAAAGCGTCGACTTCCCAACTGACGGGAAACCCACAAGCCCAACTCTCGAGTCACCACTTTTCGTCACGTCAAAGCCCTCTCCTGCTCCGCCTCCCTTGCCGCCTGAAGGCGTGAGGATCTCTCGTCGAAGCTTCGCCAGCTTGGCCTGCAGTGATGAGGGAAGAGGAAGATGAGGAGGACGGAAAGATGGTTGAAATTATGTTTTCTATTTTCACTACCGCTGAAGGGTTGGAAAGAAAACGAGGGGGAAAGAGGGCAAAACGGAGATTACTTCGAAACACGGGGAGCAGCACAGTGATGTGATGTTGCCTTGTAGCGCCAACTGGTAAATCTGAAACTATACTCCTTGTTAGAAGCCCCGAAAAGGATAACAGCTCACCTTGAGCAGGCCCAAGTGGTGTGCTGTTGCCTTGTTCTTCTGCGTGCGAGCCATCTGCAAGTGTGAGAGCACAGGAGCGTACGAGCACACGAGTACACACGCACACGGAGAGAGATTCTTAGTACCATATAACATAGCATGCATGTACTTATCAACGTACTCGTAACCTCGCGCACAAGGACATTTTGCATCCACCCGCTCCAATGCTTCATTCACCTTCCGTTACGTCCAATCACTACTAATTCTCTCATTCAAAGCTCTTGAATCTCGGTGTGAAGCGAATCCCAAGATCCACATGTCCTCGATATAAGAGGCATCAATGCAGAGCAAACACGCACCTCATCTTCAATGTCTTTGATCTTCTGCGTGATGGTCCCCATGGCTGCCGGTAACGGTCAACGACGGTTAACAACGGTTAACGCGGTCAACGACGGTTGACGACACCCTACGACGGCCAAGTCGGTTTCCTTTTTCCTTCCTAATCGACGACGTTCCTATCCAGCAGTATCCAAATTTCGCGTAAGAGACAGACGAGTAGCCGAATCTAAATATTTGAAGGTCGAATCGTTCAGCAGGCAGACCGTTACGTCACTCAGATGCTCGCCTTGCCGCACGGCGGCTTCTGAAGCTGACCACAACGAGAAGATGTAACGCCGTTGCGACTACTGGCGCTTCCGGCTAACCACAACCAGAAACTTTATCCGCACGCCAGTAACTGCGCCGCCAAAAACGTCGATCCGCGATCGTTTTCAGCTGGCAAGTGGCTTTCCACTAATTATTCCAGGTCAGAGATCCTGGTACTTCCAACGCCGATCGCACGTGTAAACTGCAGAACAGAACGCTAATCGCCGGGTGCGTGGAACTCCGGGAACAGAAATGAAGCTTTTATGCGACTAGGGCGTGGAAGCCAGGCGGAACCGAACTGGAAGCGAGCTTTACGAAAGGACTCGAGCAGAATCCCACACACACAAGCGAGGTTAGCAATGAGCTCGAAACTGAAGGCCTAAACCCTAATCTCCAGCTTTGGCTCGTGTGAAGAAGGGGAGGACAAGGTGGGACAAGCTCGAGGACAAGCAGGAATTTGGAATTTGCTGAACATGCGCTTTATAGAAATGTTCGTTATCGAAGAATCGAGAAACGTATCGATGGTACACACCGATATTCACGTATACATCGTTCAGCTATAAAAAAACGCATGTATTCGCTGCAAATATGCAGCGTTTTGGCGATTGCACATTAGGTAATTTTTTGCAAAAACTTTGAAACGATACTCAGAAAGCCCATTTTTTCATTAAAAGAGCACCTCTATGCAGCTACCACATGGCATGTATTGCTTCTTACGATCCTTCTGGCTTTGGCCTGCCAGAGAAACAACAGCTGGAGGGGCACAGGCACTGGTAGGTGACAGTGTAGCAAACAGTTTGGTTCCAAACCTCTTACAAAATAATAATGAGACCACACACGGCAGAGCATATGTGGCTTTGCCCGCACAGTAGTCAGAAAAGGCATAGATTGAATTAGTGTAAAGTTCCCTCTGTAGCAGCAAAAGCCCTGTCACGCCCATGCTCTGCTAAACAGCGTCCACGTTTCAGGCTGAAACCACTGAGAGGGGAACTGGAAAAATGGGTACATGAAGTCTGAAGAGAGGAGGGGGGGGGGGGGGGGGGGGGGGGGGGGGAGGGAGGGCAGGTAGAGGGAAGGCGAAGCGAACGGCAAATAAGTGTGGGAAGCAGCACCTCAGGTCATGTGCACTGGATGTACGAGCCCTCGTGTGGATTTCGAGGTGCTTCAAAAGCCCAGGAATTTTGAACCGCAAAAAGCAAACTGAAAAATTGGTGCCGAAATGAGCACACCATGTCATGTACCGTAGACATTTGAGCATGCATAAGATGCAATTCACTGCATGCATGAGCATGCGTTTTGGCATGTTGATGCATGTAGGTCTATAGTGTACTCATATGAACATTCAACTACAGGTGCATGCAACAGAATATGTGCCAGACAGTGAAAAGAAAGGCAGTCAGGTACGTGTAGAGGGTGTATTTTTGAGACGTCTCAAAAATGCCCTCTCTACACATACAACTACCGGTGCATGTGACAGAATATGTGCCAGAAAGTGAAAAGAAAAGCAGTCAGGTAACACCACCACCTACCTTGGGAGCTGCTACGTCCAATCTCATTCTGCCACGTGGCAGGAGCAGGCAGTCTGTCGTCTCTGTAGCTCTCCACCCACTCCTCCACCGGTACTCTCCTCTCAGCCACCTCCATCAGCACATCGAGACACGCATTCACCTGTGGTGGGGAGGAGAGAGGATAAAGAGACTGTCAATGAGGTGAAAAAATCCTGTCCACCCATCACCTCTCCTCCACCATCACCCTCCTCTCTGCAACCTCCATCAGCACAGCCAGACACGCGTTCGCCTGAGGTGGGGAAGGAAAATGAAAGGAGTTTCAATGAGGAAAGACGGCCTGTGGTCCCTGTAATAAGGCTTCACCCACTTCTCCACTGGTACTCTCCTCTCTGCCACCTCCATCAGCACAGCCAGACACGCGTTCACTTGTTGCTGGCACGGAGGGGACAGGAAAGGAAGAAGAAGATTGAATGGGCAATGCCTGTATTTTGAGGTGCCTCAAAATACACCTCAATGCGTGTAGCTCTCCACCCACTCCTCCACCCACCGGTACTCTCCTCTCTGCCACCTCCATCAGCACAGCCAGACACGCGTTCACCTGTGGTGGGGAAGAGAGGGGAGAAAGTCGACTCTTGTCTGCCCATCACTCTCGTCCACCTATCAAGACACCTCGTGCGCCCTCTCCCTCACCACCTGCCTCTCTCTCCCTCACCACCTGCCTCTCTCTCCCTCACCACCTGCTCTCTCTCTCTCCCTCACCACCTGCCTCTCTCCCTCACCACCTGCTCTCTCTCTCTCCCTCACCACCTGCCTCTCTCCCTCACCACCTGCTCTCTCTCTCTCCCTCACCACCTGCCTCTCTCCCTCACCACCTGCTCTCTCTCTCTCCCTCACCACCTGCCTCTCTCCATCACCACCTGCTCTCTCTCTCCCTCACCACCTGCTCTCTCTCTCCCTCACCACCTGCTCTCTCTCTCCCTCACCACCTGCTCTCTCTCTCTCCCTCACCACCTGCCTCTCTCCCTCACCACCTGCTCTCTCTCTCTCCCTCACCACCTGCCTCTCTCCCTCACCACCTGCTCTCTCTCTCTCCCTCACCACCTGCCTCTCTCCATCACCACCTGCTCTCTCTCTCCCTCACCACCTGCTCTCTCTCTCCCTCACCACCTGCTCTCTCTCTCCCTCACCACCTGCTCTCTCTCTCCCTCACCACCTGCTCTCTCTCTCCCTCACCACCTGCTCTCTCTCCCTCACCACCTGCTCTCTCTCTCCCTCACCACCTGCTCTCTCTCCCTCACCACCTGCTCTCTCTCTCCCTCACCACCTGCTCTCTCTCTCCCTCACCACCTGCTCTCTCTCTCCCTCACCACCTGCTCTCTCTCTCCCTCACCACCTGCTCTCTCTCCCTCACCACCTGCTCTCTCTCCCTCACCACCTGCTCTCTCTCTCCCTCACCATCTGCTCTCTCTCTCCCTCACCACCTGCTCTCTCTCTCCCTCACCACCTGCTCTCTCTCTCCCCCTCACCTCATGCGCCCTCTCCCGCATCACTATGTGTGCTCCCATGAGAGGCAGGAAGCGTGCCACCCTCTCTACTAACACACCTCATGTCCTCTCATGTACTCTCTCCCTCACCTCCTTTTAACACACCTCAGGTGCTCTCACCACCTTTTAACACACCTCATGTGCTCCCACCACCTTTTAATACACCTCATGTGCTCTCACCACCTTTTAACACACCTCATGTGCTCCCACCACCTTTTAATACACCTCATGTGCTCTCGCCACCTTTTGACACACCTCATGTGCTCTCACCACCTTTTGACACACCTCATGTACTCTCACTACCTTTTAACACACCTCATGTACTCTCACTACCTTTTAACACACCTCATGTGCTCTCACCACCTTTTGACACACCTCATGTGCTCTCACCACCTTTTAACACACCTCATGTGCTCTCACCACCTTTTAACACACCTCATGTGCTCTCACTACCTTTTAACACACCTCATGTGCTCTCACTACCTTTTAACACACCTCATGTGCTCTCACCACCTTTAAACACACCTCGTGTGCTCGTTCCCGCAGCACCATGTGCGCTCCCATGAGAGGCAAGAAGCGCGCCACCCTCCCTATTGACACACCTCATGTGCTTTCTCCTTCACCTCGTGTAGCCATAGCTCATTTGCTCCCTCTCTCCCTCACCTCATGTGCTCTCTCCCGCAGCACCATGTGCGCTCCCATGAGAGGCAAGAAGCGCGCCACCCTCCCTAGACTTCTAGCGACCCTTTCGCCCAATGAGATGTGAGCAATGACGTCATCCCTGAAGACGGGGGCAGAGTGGAGGTTCAAGGGGGAGTTGGGTGGTGGGGGTGAAGCATGTGTGACTATGTATCCACTTGTAAAAAATGAAGAGGGAAGAGGGAGAATAAGACAGGAAGGACAAAAGAGTAGATGGAAGAGAGAAGAAAGAAGAGGGGACAAGGGAAGAGAGGGAAGACAGGAAGTACCTGCCATGAATGACTTTTGAGTCGACTCAAAAGTCAGTTGAGTCGACTCAAAAGTCAGTTGAGTTGACTCAAAAGTCAGTTGAGTCGACTCAAAAGGCGACAAGGAAAGAGAGGGAAGACAGGATGTACCTGCCATGAATGACGGCGGTGGGGATGTGGGCGCTGCAGATCTCATCCACATCGTGGGGAGTGAGGGAGTGCGTCCAGCATGCGTTGAGGTGCCCATTCGCCCCGTGGGGTGTCTGCATGGCGGACGGTGCTGATAGCTCGCGCACATACTCCTGCGGGTGACAAGACGGGCATGTGGGAGAGTGAGGAAGTGGGTAATTGTATGCTGAATCTGTTTTTTTGAAAATTCTCAAAAAACAGATTGGGGCATGTGGGAGAGCGAGGGAGTGGGTCCAGCATGCGTTCAGGTGCCCATTCGCCTTGTGGGGTGTCTGCATGGCGGACGGTGCTGATAGCTCGCGCACATACTCCTGTTCGATGAAAGCAGGGGGGTGGGAAGGGGAGGACCCACATGGCATGCGAGAGAGTGAGGGAGTGAGTGAGTGAGTCCAGCACGCATTCAGATGCCCACTCGCCCCGTGTGGTGTCGGCATGGGGCGGATGGCACCGACAGCTCGCGCACATACTCCTGAGGAAGATGGGGAGTGAAGGAGTGGGGGGGAGTGTGTTCAGCAGTTGAGGGAGGACGTCAGCATGCATTCAGGTCAGATGCCTGCTCTCTCTGTGGGGTGTTGCATGGCAGCTGGCGCTGACTGCTCGCTCGCGCACATGCTCCTGAGGAGGATGGGGGGTTGGGTGGGGTGGGGTCATGGAAGGTGGAGGATGGTGAGTGAGGGAGTGCGTCCAGCATGCATTCAGATGTCCATTCGCCCCATGGGGTGCCTGCATGGCGGATGGCACTGACCGGAGAAGAAAAGGTGATGGGAGGTGGGAATAGAAAGGGGGCGTGTGAGGGAGTGGGTCCAGCAGTTGAGTGAGAGAGGGCGTCCAGCATGCAATCACGGTTCAGATGTCCATTCGCCGCCCCATGGGGTTTCTGCATGGCGGATGGTGCGCACATACTCCTGTTGGACTGGGATAGAAAATGGGGGGTTGGGGGATTCGGAAGAGAAGGGATGGTGGGATGGGATGGGATGGGAGGATGGGAAGAGAAGGGATGGGGGCCATGGGAAGAGAAGTGATGGTGGTATGGCAAGGGCAGGAATACCTTACATACGTGTGCTCACCTTAGCTTGTCCATGCCATACCATACCCAGTGCATTCCAGTGCAGCCAGTGCATACCAGAGCTCACAAACAACACACCACACCACAGCCATACCATACCATGTGCAGAGCTTCTCTCCGTGACATGCCACTGCCTGCATCCGTTCCTTTTAAGATGAATCATAAGCCAACTCACAATCCAGCACCCACCACACCTCACAACAACAACACACCACACCACAGCCATACCATACCACGTGCAGAGCTTCTCTCCGTGACATGCCACTGCCTGCATCCGTTTCCTCCATGTACTCCTGGCAGGCAGAAGGGAAGAGGCAGGAGAAGGCAAGTAGAGAGCAAGGGAGAGAGGGCCATCTTTGAGCAACTTTTTTGGGAAATGCTTGAGGCAATGCTTGAGAGGCGCCTTTGTGCTTCCTCTTCATGACAAGCCACTGCCTGCATCCGTTTCCCCCCCCCCATGTACTCCTGGCAGGCAGAGAGGTAGACCCGAGAGGCAAGCAGAGAGCAAGAGAGAGAGAGAGGGCGATCTTTGAGGAGGCTCGATGTATAGACAATGTTCGCGGCGCCCCATGAAAGGGCGCACCTGGGGAAAGCGCGTGTTCACATCTACTCGGGCTGTTGGTTTGAATTTGAAGGCCCAGAGGCTTGATCGGACGCATACTGCATTAAGTCAAAGCTCTACCACCTCACCTGGGAGAAGTGTGCGTAGACCAAACCAAAAGCCCGAGTAGATGTGGCAGCTTGGATTTGAATAAGTCGAACGAAGCTACCACCTCACCTGCAAGAAGTGTGTGTTCAGATCCACCTAAGACCTCAGCTCCAGGGCACAGGGGCTTGGTTGGTAGCCGTCTGTGTGGACTCAAAGTCACCTCGACTGGATTTTTTGAGACATTTCAAAAGGCACCTCACCTCACCGCACCTCACCTCACCGCACCTCGCCTCACCCCACCTCACCTGCGAGAAGTGCGTGTCAAGATCCACCTGAGCCCTCGATTCTGGTGTTCGGGCGTTCAGCAGGCGGTACGCGATGGAGAAGACTCGCGAGTCCAGCTGGGGTGATATGATGAAGGGAGAGGGGTGGGAGGAGGGGGGCATGGCAGACACGAGCGTCCAGGAAGCGCCTCAGCTCTGGGGTTCGGGCGTTCATCAGGCAGTAGGCAGTGGAGAAGACTCGCGAGTCCAGCTGGGGTGATGGCGGGTGGTGGTGACAAGAGGGGGGAAAGGCGGGAGGCGCGGCAGACAGAAACATGACGACATAACTCCGGGGTTTCCGCGTTCGTCAGGCAGTAGGCGATGGGGAAGACTCGGGAGTCTAGCTGGGGTGATGGCGGGAGGAAGAGAAGGGTGGGAGGAGGGGCACAGGAGACAGTTTTGAGACGCATCAGAACCTGAGTTGATTTTTGAGTCGACTCAAAAATCAAGGAAGAGAAGGGTGGGAGGAGGGGCACAGGAGACAGTTTTGAGACGCATCAGAACCTGAGTTGATTTTTGAGTCGACTCAAAAATCAAGGAAGAGAAGGATGGGAGGAGGGGCACAGGAGACAGTTTTGAGACGCATCAGAACCTGAGCCCTGAGATTGGGGGTTCGATTCGAGCGTTCATCAGGCAGTCGGCCATGGGGAAGACTCGCGAGTCTAGCTGGGGTGATGGCGGGAAGAGACGGGGAGAAGAGAAGGGGAGAAGAGAAGGGGAGAAGAGAAGGGGAGAAGAGAAGGGGAGAAGAGAAGGGGAGAAGAGAAGCGGAGAAGAGAAGCGGAGAAGAGAAGGGGCACGGGAGACAGGAGCATTTGATTAAGAGGGGCTGTCTCTGATAGAACAATGTTCGGATGTGGAGAATAGAGGGAGGCGGGGGGAGGCGGAGGGGAAGGATGGGCACGGCAGAGAGAGACATGAGGAAGCCCCTCGAATGAAAACGACTTGCGGATACCATCATGCGGTAGGCGAGGCAATAAGGTGACTCTTGAGTCGACTCAAAAGTCAACTCGGATGGAATGACTTGCGGACACCATCATGCGGTAGGCGAGGCAATAAGGTGACTCTTGAGTCGACTCAAAAGTCAACTCGGATGGAATGACTTGCGGACACCATCATGCCGTAGGCGATAGGGAGGACCCTGCACGGGGGAGCAGGTCGAAGCCGCCTCCACTGACTCTGATAAGTGCAAGAGAGATGATTCGATGCGATGCCACTGCTGCCACCTTGCGACTACACTCGTGGGAGGAAGAAGGGGGGGTACGCCATACCGTTAGAGTGGGTGGGTGAGTAGGGGTTTGGGGGGTGTGCGAGGGGGGCAACCATACCCGGGGGAGCAGGTCGAAGCCGCCTCCGCTGACGCTGATGAGTGCAAGGGAGATGATTCGATGCGATGCCGCTGCTGCCACCTTGCATGCTATCATGCCGCCTGCAGTGATGGGTCGGGGGAGGATGGAGGGGGGGAAAGAGGGAGGGAGGGACGGAGGGAAAGAAGAGAATCCGAATGTAGGAAGCGAAAATTAAGAAAGTGGATTATGCAGTGTAATCCTGATGAGTGCAAGGGAGATGGAACTGACACATTGACATGAAACTGACCCATGGAAATGAAACTGACCCAGGAAAATGACACCGACCTATGGACATGAAACCAGCCTATGGAGATGAAACTGACACATGGGAATGAAACTGGTCCAGGGAGATGAAACCGGCACATGGACAGGTATTTGATTTTATGGAGATGAAACCGACCCAGGGAAATGAAACCAACCCACCCAGGGAGATGAAACTGGCCCATCCAGGGAGATGAAACTGACCCATGGAGTGGCCAACCAAGTGGAACCTAGTCCAGCCGAGATGATCCGCCAGAAACAGTGCATCGGCTGCCATCACCTCCGTGCTGCCAGTGGGTGGGATGCGGTTGTTGGGGGGGAGGGCAGGAGATGGGGGAGAGTCGGGAGACAGAACGGAATGTTACAAGGATAAGGATCACATGTGTCCAGCCGGGTTGATCTGCCGGGAACAGTGCATCTGCTGCCGTCACGTCCGTGCAAGTTGGGAGGTAAAAGGGGAGTGAGCGGGGGGAGGGGGGTAGGGTGTTACATTATTATACATACCTACATGCATCATGCATGTTCGGTTAGGAACAGTGCATCTGCTGCCATCACGTCCGGGCTTGTTGTGGGGTAAAAGGGGAGTGGGGGGGGGGGGAGAGAGGGGCGGGGGGGTAGATTATACATACGTATGCATCTGCTGCCATCACCTCCGTGCTGTGCAAATTGAAACGGAGGGGGGGTGGGGAGGGGAGTGGGGGAGGAGGGGAAAAACAGCGTAAAACAAACATTTCCTATTCTCAACTCCGAATTGTAAGAGCGCAAGAATGTACTCGCCGGTGCAGGGTGGAACAGAGAGCAGAGCACTCACGACTTTTGAGGCGCCTAAAAAATTGCGGGTAATGAGACGACTTTTGAGGCGCCTCAAAAGTACTCGCTGCTGCAGAGTGGAACAGAGAGCAGAGCACTCACGTGTACTGGGTGGGGAGTTGACATTTGAGTCGACTCAAAAGCAGACTCCAGTTCATAAGAGCGCAAGCATGTACACACTGCTGCAGAATGGAACAGAGAGCAGAGCACTCAGGTGTATTCGCTGGGGTCGGTGGGGCACAAGCTGTGTCCCACTCCCCGGTTGTCGAACACGCACACCTCACCTCACCTAACATCACCGCACCGCACCTCACCTCACCGCAACTCACCTCACCTCACCTCACATCCTTGTTGCTAACGAGCTGCTACTACAGAGAGTGTTACTCAGGTGTATTTGCTGGGGTCGGTGGGGCACGAGCTGTGTCCCACTCCCCGGTTGTCAAACACGCACACCTCAATCCCACCCACCCTCCCTCCGAGGGAGCACTCACGTGAACAGAGAGCCATCACAGCACAGAGTGTTACTCACGTGTATTCGCTGGGGTCGGTGGGGCACGAGCTGTGTCCCACTCCCCGGTTGTCAAACACGCATACCTCCCTCCCACTCCTCCTCCCGCTGCTCCCCTCCTCCTCCTCCCCCCTCTCCCCTTCCCCCTTCGCCTCCTCTCCCCTCTCCTCCTCTCCTCTCGCCACTCCTCTCTCTTCCTCTCCTCTCCCCTCACCTCCTCGGCTTTCCTTCATCCCCCTCTCTCTCTCACACCCTTCGCTCACTCCTCTCTCCGCTCCTCCTTCCCCTTCCATCTTCCCTCCTCCTTTCCCATCCCTGCTCTCCTCCCAACAACCCTCCCCATTACCAAACTCCTCTTCACCTCTCTCTTTCCCCCCATCATTTCCCTTCTCCTCCTTCTCTTCCCCCCGTCCCTCCGCCCCCTCCTGCCGCCCCCCACCATTGGGAACACCCGTGCCCGCAAGAGCATCCACCTGGTAGCGCCACGCAGCATGGCCAGAGGCGAGGCCTGGCAGGGAGGGGAATAGAGGGGGACAATGGGGAGAGGGGAAGGAAGAGCGACGGATCAGGTTGATAGTTAGCGTCTCTCCCACCATTGGGAACACCCGTGCCCGCCAGAGCATACACCCCACCTGGTAGCGCCACGCAGCATGGCCAGAGGCGAGGCCTGGGAGGGAGGGAATAGAGGGAGGTAAACGGGAAGAGCGAAAGGAAAAGCGACAGAACTAGTTGATAGCAGACACGTCCGCTCCCCGTTGGGAACACCTGTGAACGCCAGAGCCTCCACCTGGTAGCGCCACGCAGCATGGCCAGAGGCGAGGCCTGGGAGGGAGGGAATAGAGGGAGGGATTAGAGGGGGAAAAAGGGGAGACGGGAAGGAGAAACGATGGATCAAGTTGATAGTAGACACCTCCCCTCCCCACTGGGAACACCTGTGAACGCCAGAGGTACCGCCACGCAGCATGGCCAGAGGCGAGGCCTGGGAGGGAAGGAATAGAGGAGAAGCAACAGGTCAAGCTGGTAATGGACGTGATCCCTGGTGGTTGGTGGGAATGGGAATACCCGTGCCCACCACACCTGGTGTTAGTACAGCCTCCACTGGAGAATCGCCAAGCAACGTGACCAGAGGCGAGGCCCGAAAGGGAGGGGAATGGAGGGGGTGAGGAGAAAAAGATCACTTTAAAGAGTTTCGGAAAGTGATACAAGCGGACCCATTATCATAAGCACTTCGATACACGCACCCATTATCATAAGCCCTTCGATACACGCACCCATAATCATAAGCCCTTCGATACACGCACCCATTATCATAAGCCCTTCGATACACGCACCCATTATCATAAGCCCTTCGATACACGCACCCATTATCATAAGCCCTTCGATACACGCACCCATTATCATGAGTACTTTCGTGTCTCCATGGCCGTACGTCTCGTAGAAAATCCTCACTTTCTTGCCATCCCCGTCATTTCCGTCCCCATTCCCGCCGCTCTCCGCGGCGCCTGATCCGCCGTTTTCCGCGGAACTTTCGTCTCTGTGGCGATGGTGGCCAGGGACAATGCAGTACGGCATGTCGCCACGTGGAACTCAAAGCCGTGATAAGCCGCTCGGCTTATCAGTGAAAATGCGGTATCGAAAGTCCCAAGGTAACGGAATGTCGTGGAGGTATGCTTGTTTTCCTACTCGGCTTGCTGGCTTGGCCTCTCGCTTCGCCTCTTGCTTGGCCTCTCAGTGAAAATGCGGCGTGCCAAACCCCAAGGCGTGGAACCGTCCAGTTGGTTTCGCGTAAGATGCAGAATCAGGAATCCAAAGGTAGGGCCGTGCGAGGCTAAGTCAGTTTTCTGGCTAGCTGGACGCACTGACGATGTCTTTGGGACGTCTCTAGAGTAATTTCGACTCTGGAAGTAAATGTCGATACTCATAAATAGATTCTCACGGACTACGGGACGGAGAGCGACGGAGGTTTTGAGGCGAACCTATACACCGTCGTTCACGGGACGGATTGTGCCACTACTGGAGCCTGAAGCTGACGATTTCCGGTACCCTTCAGTCTTGAGGCACACTGGAGTCGTTCACTTCATCGGTCTCTGTGGGTGAGGTGGGGTTTGGTGTGGTGGCTGTGGGAACTGTGTTCCAAGTGGACTCGGAAGTGCTTGCCGTTCGTGTCAGACGGGACCAGGACTTCTAGAATTTACTCGTTATAGATGGCCCGAGCTGTAGTTGAGTCTGTGCTGTAATACCTACATTTAGTGGAGTGTAGAGGTAGAGAAATGAGAAGTGAGAAAGATGGCTTGTCTTACTGGGCAGACACATACACGCCACTTGAAGCTCCTACCTGACAGGTGTCAACTCTCTCACATTCTATCACCAGAGCCTCAATAATTCAGCAAGTTTTGATATAAAGAATGTGTCAAGAAGACCTCATGCTACGGTGTTATATGATTGCTGCCTCCTTCAAATAAATATACTGTGAATGAAGTACCCATTCAGCTAGAACCCATCAGAGTCACTATCCCTACCGCTCTGGGTGCCACTTCGAGTCCCATCCTCCTTCCCCTTGCCCCAATTCGCCACAGGAGACTGCCCGAAAATCGGAGTCAAATAAATCGCAGCTGCCCCAGCAAGAAAACCCGCCCCATTCTTCAACAACGGCTCCAAATCGTCCGTCCGGGCAGTAATGGGCAGAAACGAAAAAGCCACAAGCAGCAGCAGCCACAGCGGGGAGAAAAGTAGCACCCACTGCCAAGAGGCTTCCACCTTTCCGGAAGGTTCCAAGCGGGCAGCGAATCCGAAAACTATTCCACTGAGGATTGCAGTGGAGAGAGTGATGAAGTAAAGGTCGTCTACTAGGCCGGGCACATTGTTACAGCCGGAGGGCTTTAAGAGGCAGGTTTGCAGCGTGGCAACGGCGTCTTGGACAGCCCTTGTATCGCCCTGCTCTGCCACATAAAACTGATTCCCAAAGCTGGGGTTGGGGACCGAAGAGTGGAGAGGGGAAAGGGGGAGCAGGGAGAGGGGAGAAGGACGCTGCATGTGTGATGTACTTTTTGCTTTTCATCTTCGAGACAAAGCACGGGCGAGGATGGGAATAAGAACGGGTGGAGGAGAAAAGGAAGGGATGTGGGTGGGGGGAATGGGGTAATGGGGTAATGGGCGGGTGGGAGGAAGTAGAGACCTATATGGGTGGGCGACTAGAGAGGTGTACCGGGATTGTAGCTCGATGAAGAACTGTCGGGGAAGCTTCTCCCTGACAGTGTCTCCTGCAAAGAAGTTGAGGATGTTGGGTGATGTGACGTCCGCCACCACCACGACTGTGCGGTCGTCGGGCTGATATGCGACAGACAGACAGACAGACAGACAAACAAACAAACAAACAAGAAGCGCACATGGTAAGATAGGTGGGAATAAAGGGTGAGTTGAGGATGCTGGGCGATGTGATATCCACCACCACCACTAGTCGGGCTGAAAGGGATGGGATGACACACATCATACATGCAGTGTTGGGGAGGAAAAGAAATGAGTGGAGACACATGAGAATGCATGAGAGGCGCATGGAATGTTGGGTTATGCACGCCCACCACCAACACGGTTCGGTCGTTGGGCTGCGAGGGATGCGAGGAGCCACAGCGTTTGTGTAGGGGTTGGAGAGGAAAAGAAAGGGGAGGAAACTCATGAGAGGTGCATGAAATGTTGGGCAATGCATGCCTATCACCACTACTGTCAGGTAATCAGGCTGACAGGGATGAGACGAGCCATATCACACAGGTGCCGAGAAAGAAAGAGTGGAAACTCAGAAGATGCATACATGCATGGGAGACATGGCCCAAATGAAGCTTTTCCGATTCGCCTATTTACATGCCACACTGCACGTAGGCCCTCTGTTTCAATCTACACTGCTCGGACACATACCCAACCAGCACTCGCCCGCACACTACCCACCTTCAATCTCCGGGCTTCTCACCCCGCCTACCTTACCTGCCACACTGCACGTAGGGCCTCTGTTTTGAACTGCTCAGGCGCATACCCAACCAGCACTCGCTCGCACACTACCCACCTTCCCTTTCAGGGCTTCTCACCCCGCCTCCCTTACCTGCCACACTGCACGTAGGGCCTCTGTCTCGAACTGCTCAGGCGCATACCGAGTCAGCACACGCATACGCCATCCATACTCCCTCTCCAGACTCTCCAGCTGACGAATCATCGCCTCCCGTTTCCCGCCGCCCAGAAGCTGCGCTCCGTCAATCACGGGACCCGCTGCTGCCATGTTGTCAATTGCTGATTGGCCAGCAGGAAAGGCAGTATTTGGTGCAGTTTCAACCGCAGCTGTAATATCCGCGATTCGAGCGAGTGGTCCTGAGTATGACAGGGCTAGGGTTTGCTGGCTGTCCCACGTCATAGCGCCTGGGGAAAGAGACACTAAAGAAGCGGATGATGATATTGCTGCAAGATCAGCTGGCGCTTCTGCTGCTGCAGAAGCGTCCAAAGGAAAGGACAGGAGGGTGACGACTGAAGCCGCTGTGAAAAGGACGGAAGCAGCGACATTCGCAGATTGTCGCATGAGGTTGGCCACGGATTCGCAGAGCGGCGAGCCTGTGGTTTCGCGAGAATCGACGGTTGCTGACGATGGGATGGCAAGGAGTGCATTCTGTGACGAAAGAATGTTGGAGTAAAGCGAGTTGGAACCATCAACGTGCGAAGGTACATTTTGGGGCAGACTCGGCGCCTTACGCGACGCTCGAGCAACCACCACGACCTTCGCGAAACCACTGCGGATTGGCTGGAAACGGGCATGTTTTGGTGTAAAACGGGTGAGAATGTTGGATGAAGTCGAGCGGCGAGAGCACGCCTTGCGGAGGCAAATGCGATGGTTGTCCAGCGAAGAGAGCAGCTGCCATTTAGCTGTCTCCGCTGAAGGCACCAAGACAGCCATGGCAGCCATGATAAAATTGAAAGCTCCCAGTTGGTGTGAGGTACACGAACACAAATTTCCGTCACTGGATGCCTTCTCTAACCGTTTAGAAAGCTACGGAATCGTGTTGTACCTCCCTGCAATGCAGGGAACGGGCCCCGCTGACTTGGCAGCTAATCCGAACTGCGAACTCAATGCGGTATCGATACACTTCCAAATTTGTGCTACAAAATTCTTGAGGATTGTAAATAATATTGAAAAAGGTGAGCACTGGCAAATTAAACCTGCACTGGTGCCTTCCTTTCCAGCCAAAATTGTTTGATCAAGGTTATGCAAAATTACCATTGTGTCATAAAGTTAAGAACCTACGGTTGGTGTGAATTCTCGATCCACAGCACCCAGCTTTGTCATTGTATCATCTGCCCAAGTAAGCTTGGAGCTGCCGACGAAGCTCATCATTCTCCTTCCGCATCTTCATCATTCTCTGCTTAATGGCATCAGCATGCCTGTTTGGCACTGCTTCACGAATTTGTTCCTCCATCTTCTGCCTAAATTCTTTCATCTGTTCTTGCAGCTGATTCTCAGCAAGTGAGCCTGCACACAGTTACGCTGTCGCTCATGTATCCCACATGCCATCAAAGGGAAGAAAACGGCCAAGGTAACTTACATTTGTATTCAGACATTGAGAGAGACTTTTCCAAAGACTTCCGTCGGGCCTCTTCGTCGTGAAGCTGGTTTCTCAGAGTCGCCAGCTCACTCTCATCTGCAACAAACCTTGATCAGCAGGCTGCGTCTGAACAGTCAACAATGCCACCCAAAGTGAACTTACACTTCACCCTTTGTGAGAATGCTAACTCCTTCATTTGTCTCTTTTCATGCTCGCCTTCACTGTTCTGCTGCTCCAACCTGTCCTCAAGAGTCACCACCATCGCCCATGCCTCGGAAAGCTCCTTTTCCAGGCTCCTGAAAAAACTGCCGCGTGAACACCTATGTTGAAAGTGGAACGTGCAACAAACTTTTCCTTACAATACTCGATTTTCAGCCACGGTTTTGGCTTGCGCTGCCCTGTCATCGAAAGTGCTAAGCACGCCTTTCAACTCCTGAACATAGATTCCGGAGATAAGACGTGTTAAACAACAAGATATATGTCACGAAGAGGAATGCGTACCTCCATCTTCAGGTCGTATTCCTTCTGCTGGTTTTTTAACCGATCCTCAGCTTCTTCATACAGTTTGCGAAAGTGGAACTGGACGTATGAAAGACATTGTGATTGAAGTCGCAGCGGGAAGGCTACGGACCCTGTAAGGCAACAACTAACCTGTTGCTGAATAATCTCAAGTTCAGCTTGTCGAAGAGAGCGCAACCTTTCCACTTCTGCCGAATTAAAAAATGTCAGAAAAAGAATAAAGGAAAGCAGCCAATCAGAGAAACAACCCAGTCGCGCTTACCATTCTGCAACATCAGCTCACGCTGTTCCGCTGCTTCTCTCCTGTACTCAGCGGACGCTAACGCTGAACGCAAGACCTCCAGCTCAGACTGGCCCTTCTTGATTTCCTGCCGATGCAAAATGCATAGGCAGTAAAACTTCGTTGAAGTCCCAGTGCATTTTCTTTTTAAAAGAAACACATACAATCTCAACAAGGCGAAGATCCCCATTGACAGCGATTATGCTCTCGCGTAACATGGATACTCCTGAGGGAGCAAAAATGAGCTCGGGATGCTGGCGAGCAGGCCGTTGCGCTGTCGAAAAATGGTTCTGGACAGGCAGCACAAGAGATGGTTTTGGTGTTCAGTGGTGATGAGCACGAAAATGTTCCATAGTTAAAAGATGCTCGATAATGCATACGGTCAGGGCCCACGATATCAGGGCAAAACATCCTGATTATCCTGATTTCAGGATGGTGTTTCGAGTTTGCCCTGGAATTTCAGAGTGATGCTGGAATTTACCTTGTGACGTCAGGATGATCCATGTGTTTTGCCCTGAAATTTCAGATCACAGTGAAATTTTGTCCTGAAGCGTTAGGGTGAATGTAGAGGATGCCCTGACTCATGGGAAGGGGAGAAGGGGTGGAGGAGGGGAGGGGGAGAGGGTGAGAGGGGAGGAAGAAGGCTGGAGGGAGTGTGTGCTTGTTTTGTCCCCACCCCTCCCCCACCAAATTTTTGCTCAGCCAGTAGAAGTGAAACCAGTGAACTACCTGCTCCTTTCGTGCCTTCCCCTCCATCCTCTCTAGTGCCTTGTATTTTTTGCCCTGAATCATCCAGATGAATTTCTGCTGGTGTCTTGAAATTTCAGGATGGACATGAAATTGTGCCCTGAAAAATCAGGGCATTCTGGAGATTTTTCAACAGTTACCCTGAGGGCTCAGGGTGCCCTAAATCCTAGCACAGGCCCTGCCATACGGTGCAGTTTCATTTATGAAAGCCTATCTTGGAAGATTTCTGAAATTATGCTACATGTAATATGAATCATAAGCATCTAGATTCTATGTTATGAATGAACTTGCAGAGAACGCAGAATATCGAATAACGAGAATGAACTGATTACTGAATTACTGAATGACCATACAATGGAAGTGACGAGGCCTAAATAGGGGAGGTCCTAGCTAGGCGGAGAGGCTGGGCGAGGATGGCTCGGCGATGGTTGCGATTGGTGCGGAGGCTCGGGAGTGGTTCGGTGCGACGAAATAGGAAGGACAGGTTCGTCGCGTGACCCTCGGGATGACCTAGATAACGAGTGCCTCAGTAAGGATTTATAAATCCTTACACTCTCCCACCTTCTAAATAAGGCAGTCTTGTACTGAAAACAGACCCAGCACTAGCAAGGATGCCGTCGATCTCCTCTTCAGCTGAATCCGACGGCTGAAATGTCTTTGACAAAATTTTGAACAGGTTGGAATGTAGGCCGTCGATGAAGTCCAATTTCAATCTGACGGTCGAAGATGAACTGACACAAATTGAAGTAGAAGTTGGAATGTGGGCCGTCGATCGAGTAAGTGCGAATCTGACGGTCGAGGCAGATGCGATTTTGGAGGGAACAGACTGACGTGAAATTCAATCGCGATCAATCTGGAGCCGTCGATCTTGTCGGTGTAATCGCGATCGTCCGTCCTGCTGACGATACCTGACAAAGGTCAAGAAGAAAGCCGAGAAAACGCCAAGGAAAGAAACAAGGCCGAGCACTTTCTCCCCCCCCTCCAAGAAAACACACCAGAAAATGTTTCACTGTTGCGCCGAGAAGAAAACCACCAAAACCAGGTGTTAAGTCCCAATGAAACGAGCGTTAAACCAGATGAGATTGCGTCGGTGTCGAGACTCGATGACGAAACCAGGTGCAAAGTGCCCAAGAGCGAGCCAGCATATGTAGCCCGGAAACCGCGTCGGAAAATCCATGTTACTCGAACTGAACAAAATTGTCTTCAATTCGCCAGAATCAGGCGATATCTTCAGCAGTTGCAGCTGGCAGCAGTTGAAATCGAATCGTTTGCCGTGGGCGGGTCGAGTTGAGCGGGTTGTCGTTAGTAGAGTTGGAAGAGGCGTCCCGAAATCCTCTGGCCGTGAAATTAGGGGTGGTTCGAAATTGTCGGCGATGAATACGATTGATGGCGAAGTCGAGAACGACACTCGACGAAGATCGTCGAAGCAGTAACCAATTGCGAATGTCATTCCGAAAATGTTGTCGAGCACCAGTCCAGTGTCAGATGATGTCAGCACCTCCAGCGGTTTTGTCCAGACTCGCCGAGAGGTTTGTCGCAATGCGCCGAGGGCTCCTGGGCAGAGATGAAAAATTGCAGCTGTCTCTCCCTCCCTTTCACTGTTGCTGCCGCCTTCTTCAGTTCGTCGTAAGTCGTTCGTACCCCCTGAAAACTCCGTGTAGTTCCCGCGGTGTTGCCCTGCGTAAATGTCGCGCGCGTTTAACCAAACGCCGAATTCTCCACCGAAATTGTTGCCGCTTCTCGCCGTAAAACCTGTGAAGTCCCGTGTCAACTCCGAAAATGTCGTTTGAACACAGCCCTGAAAATCCGCAGATGCAGGTGCAGCTCTCCTCCGAAAATCTCGGACGTGCTTTAGCCGCCCACCTGGTCACCATCAGTTTCCTTCGGTTACCCGACCCCAGCGTGTGGGTTCAATCGAGAACCGGGGACTGCCCTGGGTCTTCCGAGACCGAATTTCACGGAACCTAGTGGCATCAACGCCGTTGACCCCGTCGTCGAAACTGCTCCCGCCGATAGTTTAACTGAAAACCACGCAAACCTCCCACTGACGCTTTGCAGATGTTTCACCCATCGCTCGTCGCCGGTAGGTAAATCCGAAAACTTCGGCTGTTCCCACGCTCCCTTTTACTGAAGAATTTCCCGCGGTGTACGTTTAAACACCAGTGGGTTCTAGGTATCCCCGCCGCTGTGTTTCTTGCCAGGCGACCTAGAAGCGACCCTTCAGGCGAAGTCCCCCAACGGCTCAACCGCACTCCAAGAAGCGAAGAAACACCCTCAGCTTCAACTCCTTTGTTTTTTGTAGAAATATAACCCCGAAAATCGTGGTTGAGGCTGCAGTCCCGAAGTTATTCTCCGCCGTACAGCCCCGACGTTTCCGCCGTTTTTTCCCTGGTACTCCGATGTTCACCCATCTTCATACCCGTCGGAACCACCTAG